CTTTTCAGATTACTTAGGTGAAAACAGACATCTAAATATTTTTTTTTTTTTTTGTTTGAATCTATACCCTGCTTAGAGATAACATATACATATACAGAGAATCATAAATAGCATAAAGTTGATTACGAATTTGAACAAAAAAAAGAAGAAGAAAATTACTTTTGTTTTTAAAAACAAGTTAAACTAAATTAGTTGTAAAGATATAAAAAATTGTTTGGTCACACAAATAGCACAAAACGGAATTCTTGGTATTTATGTATGTCTTCATGGCTGCATATACGTGAAAGTTAGTTTTTTTCACTCCAGTAGCTGCCTTTAAAGCATACTTACATATAATTACAATATAATGATTACTCTTCCTACTTCATTACCTCAAATGGTATTTTAAAGGTTTTTATTATAATGACAATGCAATCCATAAGAGCGTAAGGAACCACGTCATGTTCGTCATAGCGAGGGAAATATTGTCAATAAAATCATCTGCATTAGAATGGCTTTAATAAGTTCTCCGTTGTTATTCTTAGAAGATCGTTACGTACCCTGCAAACGGAAAATAACTCTCTTTGCAGATATATCTGCGGTTGAAAACGGAAAGAATTTTGGAAGACTTTCTTTTGTTTCATTCTATGTGTTGTGAGCAATTTAAGCAATACGTGCCATATTTCCCATAAACATTTTCTATACCCTTATAACATTAGACAGACGTACAGCCGATACAGTCGTATAAAAAGCGAAACACACACACACACGTGTACATATACATATAATGCAATAATTGTGAACGATTCAAGAGAGAAGAATAGAGAAGAAAAACACTTTCATATGCGAGTAAATGCATTTATGCCACTTATGTGTGTTGTGTTATAGTGAGTGTATACGGAATTTTATCTCTGTATAGAACTCAGTCATGCAATGAACATTTTGAACATTTCATGCAATCACACATTCTCTAATGCTCGCTTCGAACGAAAATTCCTTTCTCACGCAAAACCATAATTTTCTGCAACAGTTCTGGTAAAGCTTGCAGATGCATTTGGTTCTATTTTTTTTTTTTTTTTTTTTTTTGTTCTTCTATGCACATGCACAATCATACGGTTGCTTGAATGCCTCAGCAAGTGGCTACTAAAACAAATATTCCATTCTATAGGTTGTTCTCGATTATTTCTATGTTGCTGCTGCTCGTATAACCAATATTTGGTTTATTCCTTTTTTTTTTCCCTTTTCTTCTCTTTTTATTAATTATTTATTATTTATTTTACGTATAGCAATGAACATGTGCACGTGCGTTCGTGCTTAAATTTTGTATTTACTTAATGAATTTAGTTTTAGTAAAATTGAGTTATGTTTTTTTTTGTTTTTAGTTTGTTTTTTCAAAAGAAACTTCCATCATAGCTACTACAATTTCCGTTAAAATATACGTTTTATGTACTGAGAGGGAATATTTAATGCCGCTTCAGTAATTCCGTTCGCAATATTGATTTACTGCACGATTGATATCAATCGAAAGATATTCAAGCAGTTACTCACATTTATTCAATATTCTACGTTCTGCATTTTTCATTTTTCATTTTTTTTTTTCTTTTTTTTCGTTTGCGTTTCATTTTCATTTTGTCTTTCCTTTTCTTGCTCCAATGCTGAATGTTAAGTAAATATTAAGGATTTTCACGGATTACATATTATAAGTATGTATGTAAAGTTATATTTAGACATATGTACATACCAAAGCATTACACATGTCTTCTGTTAAATTGCTTGTGAATATTAGAAATTATTTTACTTAATATATTAATATACAATTGATCCAATTTGCTTAAATCTTCTTAAGGAAATCTTCGATTTACCTTGCAATTGAAACTAATCCAAAAACTAAATCGTGCGCTTTAAACGTTGAAAAGTCATGGCAAAGGAAATTAAAAAAAGCGAAACTTGATAAACTATATCTTGTGAGGCAAAATGCATATCGTTTATCTCCTAGACCTACTTTGAGACCTACTATCAGAGATATTCCTATTTTAACAATTTCACAGTTTTCACGAATCTAGGTTCATTCAATCAGTAAGGAAATTTTTGGTGAAGGTTTCCTCCTCTTGCAACGCAACGATGTGTTTTATGTTAATAATTCAAGACAGACGCAAAGTCTATACCTCAACTTGTTATAACCGCTACTGATAATATACAATATCAAGTTGTTTACAAATATTTGCTTAAAAAATACTTCAACCTTACATATGTATTCGTAGTGGACGTGAAGTCAAAATTGGAACCTAAAGAGAAAATTTTCCACCTGAGGTCAAGTTGCCGATGACCAGGAAACCTGCTTGTGCGCATATCCAAAGTTTGTCAATAGACAATTTCGTTAAGAAAGTGAATTTGCGGCAGCGCAGCAGAATGTAACAAAGCTGTACACTTATATTCTTCTGATTGCAACGTTCTCCGGACCATGCTACACAAAGATACAAGAGCCGTTTTTAAGTAGCACCTTTCTTTTTGCTTCGTGCAGCGCCTATCGTACTAGTCTTATTAGCCACGATTAGTGGGCAAACAGAAACACATTGGGATTCGCATAGGTTATAGCGTCAGAAATAGCTCGTGCAATTAATAACATTCCTGGGTCAATTCTTAGACCAAAGAAATTCAGAATTGTCTTGCAGTGTTTGCAATAATACTTTTACCAAGAAAGTGTTAAAAGGTTGTTCATCAAATGTACGCATGTAGTTGCTCTTAAAAAAGTTTCGTTTAAAATATAAAAAATAAGTTTTTAAATTTTCGCGAAAATTCTCAATCAAAGTTTCTTTTCCAACAAGTTATCTTTAATCAATGATAGCCGTTATCTTGTTTACTGCAGGTTATAAATCAGTGATAAGACGGTTAAAGTCGATTTAAGGTTGTGTTCACATTCGATTATATGAAAATGATTAACCGCCACTGTAGAGCTTGAATTGTTAGCAGAAAAACTCAATTCCATCACAAAAACATAAATAAAGATTTCACAGAGCTCAGTATTTCATTTCAAGTGAAGGCTTTGTGAACCTGATAAATGATACACAGTCGGGCACGGCAAATCTGCTCAAGGATGCATATGTACAACCTATTTATGTACATAACCTATAATTAAGAAACTGAGCACAACAAACAAACTATTGTTGTTTCCTTAATTAGGATACTTAACATTCAAGTTATTGTTGTAAGGCAGGTACAGGTCAATTACACAAATAATTATATTAGAGTCGTTATTGTGTAAAACGCAATGCCTAGAATAATATGCGAATACCTTTGTATCGCTGTACAATATTATCTTTTATCCTGAAACAAGTCCTGATACAATTACATGTGCAATGTAGTCAATATGGCTTAGGGAGTACTGGTAAATATGAACAGAACCCGATGAAAGTCAAAAAGTGTTCTTTTTTTTTTTTTTCATAAATCATTTAATAATGATTGCGAAAAGAATGCATTAAAAGCTCTTTCGTTTATCTCGGCGACACCATAATCCTAAATATTTCTTCTTTATGTAGGGTGTAAAACTGGAAGATAGGTAACTGAAAAAAAAATGATAGGTAACTTGCAGCTAAGTAAGCTGTGATATTGTGTAAAGGTACTTGCAATAATAGTTAATAGCTGTTCACTTAATCATGCAGGCATGCATGCAGGCAGGCGGGCAGGCCGTTGGACCTTTTTCATTTCTATAAAGTATATCCCAAAATGCGAAGAGACAAAAAAAAAAAACAAAGATATTGAGTTTTTTGGTTTAATAAATGCATTTCAATCAAGTGTCAGTTAAATCACTCTGTTCCCTATCAAATGCACACAAACGAGCACGTGTGCAATGTGTGCATTTTACAACAAGTAGTGTTACAATGCTTGTACGCGTTTACCTACAAGGCGAGCAACAATAGCAGGAGACTATATAAATAGGTTTAAAGAAAAGCGCTTCCGTTTCCAACGCCTAGGTTTATGCGTGTTTTTTGGTTGGCGTGTTAGGATTAAAACAAGCCGAACAAGTATATGCATGTGTGCGCTTTTGCGATGAGGATTAAAGTGACCGAACTTTCCCTCAAACCCTCTATACTTGCTTACAGCCATGGACACATAAATAGCACATATTTTGCCAGGAGACAAGTCAGACTCTACTCGAAGACAAGAAATAGTAAATAATGAAAAATTCATGAGACAGAAAAAAAACCGAAAAGAAAGATAGTGATTTAAAAAAAAAAAAAACAAATCCAAAAACTGTTCTTGGAGTTTATTCAACTTTTTCCAAATAGAGAAATTTGTGCCATTAAAATGTTCTTAATTTTAACTTTCCATATTTTTTCTACTAACTTATATAATTTAAACTCAGAGTTTACTTTTTTAAATTCCATTTTATTTTTTAATCTTTTAAGAAACTTTACGTCTCCGCGCTCTTTGCGTGCCGATGGCTGTGTTATATATATATATATATATATACATATACATATATGTATACATGCACATATGTGTGGTTTTATTAGCAAATAAAAGCAACCGGCTTCAAGTGACCGTATCTTTCATAAACAATAACGGTCTGCAGCGTGCAGTTGAACCCTATTATTTTTTTGTGGCCATTTAACATGAAAACGTCTGAACACGTAACATGCGAAAGCACAGAAACAAGCATACATCAAAATTGAATATAAACCGTGTTTAAAGTAAAACATATGATGAATAAAAGGAAATGTGCATAAGTATATATATATATATATATATGTATATATATGTATTATATCCCATTAATATTTTTGGTATTATGTGAAGAGAGGGATTGCAACAATATCAACAACAGCACAAAAACAACATGGAAGACAATAGCGGCAAAAGCAATAATAAAACATGAAACCAAATAATGAACTTAATTTCCGAAACTCTCCCTCTCTCTCTCTCTCTCTTTTTGTTTCTCTCCCCACCAAAATCTCTAACTCTCACTCTTTCATTTTGTATCCTTCTCTTTTGCGCCGCCTTATATTTCTATTATTGTATAGACATCATTGAAGCGCATAAAAATCAGCAGTTATGTTCATTGACGGGAGTGGAAGGCGGCCATTCATTAGGTGGTTCTCTGGCCGTTCTACGTACTTTGTATGCTATCGGTGTACGTTATATGACACTGACTTCAACCTGTCATACGCCCTGGGCCGATTCCAGTTATGCCGACGCACCAACCTTTAACGTCAAGCACGGAGGCTTAACGATATTCGGAAAGGTGAGTTCATAAAAAAAAAAAACAAATAAAAAAAAAAAAAGATTAAAAAAAAATTACCCGAATATAATGGAAACATTGTGTTGTGTCCAATGAATGAATGCGAATATGAAGCAGATAGTCATTCAACTTATACATACGCATACACATTATCATTTAGCTTGTGCTCCATATGTATTGGATATTTTCATAACCGACTTGTCCAGAGTTTATACAACAAACAAATAAACATTTGTTTGTTTGCGTAGGTAATGAGTGTTTTGTGCGCTGCTTCGTCATTATATCGACAACAATGATTGAGATTTAATACGATGTCCAAATATATGCGAGTGTATATTCGCTCGGCTGCTTCCTTACACGAACAAACACATAGACTTTAATTGTTTATCTTAGCGTAATGAAGACCGTAGTGAACCAATCAACCAACTAACTGGTGGAAATACCATTTCATATTCATCGTTATCATTCCGACAAATTGACAGCAATTTTTGTTTATCATTTCTCAAGATCATTGACTTCTATTTGGACCGCAAACATTATGTATAATTATGCAGAGCTTGTAAATAAATTTGTTTGATTCAATTTGACAAAGCTTCCCGTGTATTCTATGCACAGTATGTATGTATTTCGTTGATTTCAACGAAGACTTCATAGCTAATTAAACATGGTCGCAATATATTTAATTGCTTGTTGATACTCGATGGGCAAATGTACAACGAGTGAAGACGCTATTGTATTCACAATAGGTCGTGGTGGAGTGCTTGACTTGGAGATACTCGAAGCAGTTACTACGAAAGAGAGTTAACTTCATTGAAGAATAATTATAATTAAAGTGTTCTGCAAAATTATTTGATTTGAAAATTTTTTCTCATAATTGAGAAAATTGTAAACAAAACCATTTTGCAAAAATATTCTTACTTGCGTAGAAACGTTTTAAGCACGTTTTGTAAAACCCTTGGAACAAACATTTAAGGAAATCTGCTTGACACCGAAGATAAATTTTGCTGCTCATAATGTACTCATAATTCGAAAATATTGTAAAAAATACTGCAAGGCTTTAGATTGAATTAAGCAAAAAAATGCTGCTCTCTCACAACTTTATATTGTTGTTTTATATTTTTTAATCGGAATTTATTATACCCTACGCCACTTGTTGTACAATCAAGTATTACGTGTGTTCAGATGTTACGGTACCCCGATCGGTTGAGATAGATTGAGATTGAGATAGATCTACACATACGATGTCTGGCCATATATTTTTGTGCTCGAACTAAAAGTCGAAAGACCGATGTTGTCGTGGTTCAAGGACGAACGCCAACGAACAATATGGACTGAACTTAAGGACCACTTTCCTTGCAACTCTTCATTGTGAACCGTATTAAATGAATTGGTGTAACAAAGTTTTTACTTATGATCTTACTGTAGGAAAATTGAAAAAAAATTGAAATAAAAAAAAAAACAATTACTAAACATATATGCATATATGCAAGTATATACATAATATGACCAATCTCTCACTAGACATTCCCTTCACGTGTAAAATGATGGAGGTGGTAGAGAAGTGGCAACAGAGAAATAGATAGACGGATAAAAGAAGGCCTACGGAAACTTCATTACGCATCAATAATCGTTTTTCGCTCTCATCAATTTTTGCTGAGTTTATTATAATCTTCATCCACTTCTAAGAGTTTGCAAGATATTGATTTTATCATTTTGCTTAGGATGCCAATGCACGATTGTGAACAGCTCGGAACTGGTTCCTGTCCTTTTTACCTACCAGTACTCAGTCACCACATGTCGTCAGGTCAAAGGAATAGATAAGAGCTCGGTTTTTCTTGCCCTTCTTACCTAAATCCATAAGCTGACGCAGGTTGACTTATTTCCATCCTATGTTTAAATTTTTGTTTCCTGTTAATAAGTGATGAGAACTTACTTATACAATTAATAAGAGTTGTGTAAACTCACTTGCGCTATTAATAACTAGTGTGAAGGTACTGTAATGAAAATTAACTTCTGCTTCCAGTAAACGATGAAATTGCGTTCAGTGTGTTCTTAAAATACAGCAACTTACTAATAATGCCAAGAAAGGAATGAAACTTAATTCCGCTATTAATGAACAGGAAAAGCTCGTTGGTAATACTGATAGGCAGTAAAACCTCTATTTTGGTACTAATGAACGGTCGAGAGGTTTTTGCGCTTGTGATGCAGGATAGGATGGAAAAATCGCTTGTGATAATACTTGTGTGGCTTGTGACGCTGAAAAGGTCGCTTCTAGTGCCAAGAACGGCTGCAAACTGGCGCTGATGATATTATTATGATACTATTTCACGATGAAAAGTATCTTGTGATGCTGAAAGGGTGGCTTCTAATACTGGGAATGGCTAAGAAAAATCGCTTTTGATTTTAGCAAACTCTGGAAATTCACTTGCGATACTACGTAGGGTCAAACATTCACCTGCATTACTAGTTGGTAGAAACTTTTAACCGTAGTACTAGGAAACGGTGAAAGTTGACCTCGCAATATTAAGAACTGTGAGTGGTTAAGAGTGTGTCTTGTTGGCGCATCTTCTTCGGTATATCACTTTTCTTACTAATTTTCTTCGTTCGACCGTATATGTGTTCGTTTGTCTGCTTGTTGATATAGACCAATGCTTATATACGTTTTTGTGCAGTTGTCTATGGCTCTGTCAGTTCAACTTTTTCCTTTCACATTTGTCCACGTTTCCATTCTAACGTTGAAATGCTAATTGCGAAGAAATGAAATTGAAAGTCTTATGACCTTGCGCTTTTCTCTTCCTTATTGCTATAAAGGCGTAAGTTTGTTAAAATTAAAAACATTTTCCTTTTTTAAACGATATGATACCAAACAATGCAGTTAGCTTAAATTCTAATTTGATTATCTTTTTCGACCTATCAACTGCAACTCTGCAATTCCTCGCATGTTTTCCTAAATGAAATAAAATTTTTTTTTTTTTTTTTTTTTTTTTTTTAAGAATATTAAACGAAAAAGATAACACTTACAAACTAGACTAAGAAGAGCGCATCATCACACAATGCATTCCCCCTTTCCATTCTCCCAACATATGGCGGAGCATTCATTCACACATTGAATTGTTTACCTTTTACAAAATGTCATAAATTCGATGTCGAAAATATTTCGAACGCATGTACATGTTTATGAGGAGATGCCCGAGCAAAAGATAAACACAGTAAGAAATATCTTTCATTCATTCGATTATTTAGTGTTGTCTGAGCAAGTGACAGCGTATAAAAAACAATTCCAATCGCACAACGAAAACGAACAATAAAATTAAGAACAGAATTTAGTGTTTAAGTAGATTTAGTGAGAATGAAAATATTTTCGTGTATTGAAAAATCAAAAAGAAAAGCAAAAAAAAACGAAGAAAATTTTAACGTAATAGCGAAGTCAACGTATATCAGTAAACGCACGAGTTCAAAATAAACAGCGAGCCAGCTATTGTGTACAAACATTTGTTTAATTGATTGAAATATCTTTTCTGGTCAATAGGCAGATTTTTCACTTCTTTTTTTGCCCTGACGTACATGGAATTTTTCTTTTGATTGCATACTCATAGAAAAATGCTGGTGCCTCTGCTGCTTATCGAAATCGGTGCTCAATGAAAAGCGTAACAAAAGAAAATCGTGGAAAGTGAAAACGCTGTTAAACGCGCAGGCGCCTAGAGAAAGGGAGAAAAAGCGAGAGAGAGAGAGAGAAAGGAAGGAAAATCCATAAAAAACAGTGGTCTACACAAGATAAAGGCAAACGAATATAAACAAAATAAATAGTAAAAATAAATAAAAATAAAAAAGTTTCAAAGTATTATTATATATTATAATAATTGAATGCATCGGAATTTTTGTAATTTATGCGAAAGCTGTGCAACTATGTTAGAGGAAAAATTTGCGTGAGATTTTTTCTACTTATACGCTCACGCAGGCAGAGAGATTCCGAATGAATTGATTTGTGGTGCTTTTGGTAAAACCATTGCCTTACATTACTTATTAGTTGTGGGTTTCCTTTTGTCGTGGTTTGCTGCTTCTTCAAATATTACATCTGCTCATTAAATAAGTGTGTCTGGCAAACAAAGGAAACTAAGGAAAAAAAAATTTAAAGAAAACATAAAAATAACAATAAAAGCAAATATAAAGATAAAAAAAATCAAGTGCGTGCGTGTGTTTGTTAAAATTTTCATTTGAGCTGGCCGTCAAGCAGAAGGCAAAACGTAAAATCTATAAAAGATTTACCCGTTTCCTACACATACGACATGAGAAAGTGAGGTTACTTAGTAACTCACCCAGTGGTAGTAAAATGTCCAATTCAATGGAGAAAGCGAATTCATCGACCTGTCATGATGTTGCTGCTGCTACTTCTGTCCCATCCCCGAAAACGTCGAAACGCAGGTCGAGGTCATCTGCTCGTTATGCTGACGTCGAGACAACAAGGCAGCACAAGAAAATCGCTCTGCTCTCTATACCAAACACAATAAAATTAAGTATGCTGAACAGTGGTTTGTTGTCATTTGAGAAAATCAAACTGGAAGCACGTGACGAAAACAATTCTCTCTCGAAAACCATACCCAACAAACCCATTGACACTAGACATTTCATCAAACTTTGCGAGTTGAGGCGTAAATTTCCGGTGCTTTATAAGTTAGAATTTCAAACGGCCGCCAAAATCGAGACAAATACTTGTCGTCACGCGATGAAAAAGAATAATCAGATTAAGAATCAGAATCCCAGGTGCATTCCCTATGACTATAATCGCGTAGTGTTGAAAAAAATACCCGGTACACCCGACTCGGACTACGTTAATGCCTCGTATGTTGACAGCCTTCTGAAGCCCAATGCTTATATTGTTACTCAGGGTCCGGTAGAAGATACAGTTAATGCCTTTTGGCGTATGGTATGGCAAGAGAACGTAAGTGCGATCATAATGCTAACGAAGACATTTGATTTTGCAAAAGTTATGTGCGTTCAATACTGGCCGCCAAATATGGAGGTTCATGAAACTTATGGCGATATAAACATTAACATCGTTAGGGAGGAGCAGTTGGCCAACTTTCAAATACGAACGTTTCGTCTCTACAAAGTTAAAGAAGACAATCCCGAGGAAGTAACTGATGAGCGTCTTATTTTACAATTTCATTATACCGAATGGTATTCGCATTCATGCCCGTTCTCAAATGCTCTTTTAGAATTCAGGAGACGTGTGCGCTTAGTGGTGGGAAGTACTGTAAGCGAAGATGATACGCGAGGACCTATGCTAGTGCATTGCAGCGACGGTGGTGGTCGTTCCGGAGTTTATCTTTCAATTGATGCGAATCTCGAACTGTCCGAAGAAGAAGAGTGTTTCAATGTGTTCGGTTATCTAAAGAAGCTAAAACAATCGCGCAAAGGGTTAGTGGAAAATGTGGATCAGTATAAATTTGTTTACGATACATTAGAAGAGCATGTCGTATGTGGGAAAACTTGGTTTCCGGTATCGGAGTTGTCAGATCGTCTAAAGGCGAAAGCTAGACGTAATTCGTCAACAAAAATGAATGAATATCAAATGGAATATGATAAGATCTGTAAGCAGACGCCTCGATTCACCATAGGCGATTGTGCTGGCGGCCACAGAGCCGATAATCGGGAAAAAAACCGTGATGTCCTATGTGTCCCACCTGACAATTTTCGTCCTTATCTTACATCCTTTCAAGGTAACGCTTTCACCGACTACATAAACTCCGTCTTTGTGGACGGCTACACAAAACCTCGTGAATACATAGTCACAGAATGGCCTTTAAAACATACTTTAGGCGAATTTTGGTCTCTGGTTTACGATCAAGAATGTTCAGCGGTAGTAGTTTTGTGTCAGCCTCCTACCAATTCGCAACAATTTCCTTCATTTTGGCCTATGAAAAGCAAACTGGAAAAATATGGTCCTGTCTTTTCGGTGCACTACGCGGGAGCTAAAAATTATACCAACATCAAGCAATGGGAATTTAAAATTAATAAGAAAATTGTTTCTCTCACCGAAATGATGGCTGGAGTTAAGGCACCTACGCGTACGGTGCAACTTTTCCAATTAACTTGCTGGCCGATGGGTCATAAAGTGCCTACTTCCACCAACTCGTTAGTCTATCTAATGAATATGGTAGAAATGTGGCGTGCACGCACTGATTATGGACCTGTCTGCGTTGTATCACCAGATGGCCGCAGTCGATGTGGTGTTTATTGTGCAGCGAATGCTTGCATTGAACAAGTTATACAACACGGAGAGGTTGATGTTTTCCAAGCAGTTAAGACAGTAAGACGTCATCGTCCTCAACTTGTCGAAAATATGACCGAATACAAGTATTGTTATGATTTGGTCTTACATTATGTTTTGCACTTCCTGAACAAGAACGATTAAAAACAGTGTTAGAAAGCTTTAAGCATTTGTATTCAACTCGTTGTTCTTAGCAAAACGAATTCTATATTGTGTTAACCCAGTGATTTCTCTGAACGCTCTTAAGTCCACGTCGATCAACATTCTTTCTGTAAAAAAGAAAAATATGTTATGTCTATCCAAAGAGAAAACCGAGAGAGATTTTAAAGAGTTGTCGTCTTCTAAATTCTCATGCTTTACTCCAAATCCTGAAATAATACAGAATAGCAAAAAGGTTTAGTCTAAAGCACATATTATAAAACGCTTAGCAGATAAGCGATGACGAAATACAAAAAAATTCTTTCATATTACATGATAGTGGGTTATTAACTGCAAACACTATAAAATCCATATCTGTCATCTTAAGTCCTATGAAGTCCCGATTCGGTGAATACAATTTAATATAAATTTTTCCCTTTGTGTTCAAAGAATTACTTCTAGTATCTGTCTGCAAATAGATATATATTCACCGAAATCCAATTCTCTACCATAATTGTACATTCATGAAGGGTGTCATGATTTATAGTTTTCTTACTCTCCACCAACACTTAATCACAAACAGGGAACAATTTTGCGCTTTTTACACGAATATTTGTATTCGAGCAGAGTAATAGTAATTTATAACTTCATTATATAAACTTTTCAGTTAGAGAGGTAGGCGTGATGAAACACAACCCGATGCAGAACATAACATACCTAATGCCAAACGATAAGAATGCTTTGTCAATTTCAAAATCTTGTAACGGATAGACATGTGCATTGAAGATCGTACAATGTACGGCAGATGTGCACATAAGTCCTTGCTAGCGCGTTACTCATCAAACACAAGATCATGTTAATTTTTTAGTCTTCTAGCCTAGCCTATGTAAAGCATTTTTATTAGTCTAAATTTTCTTTTACGGAAACGCACATGTTGTCACTCTCATCAATTTTAGTTTCAAGTATATTCAAACTTGACCCATTACACTTTGGTTACATCTACCTAAAAAGTAGCAATTTTCCTTGTTTTAAATGATAATCTTTAGCTCCTTTAAATCCACGGTCGAGCAAAAAATTCGACTACGCAATCTAACGCCAGGGATATATAAGTAGCCTACCCAACACGGTGAGATTTAATGAGGAAATTGTAAAAGGCTAGAAAGAAATGCGAACTTATGTTAAAGAAGGGCTTAAAACGCATTTGAAAAAAAAATTTATAAATTATTAAATAAATTAATTCATGCCTTAAAAGCCATTAATTGGAAATATATAATCGTAATTCTCATAAAATCAAGTTTAAACTAATTATGAATCCCTGGCTACGTGTTTATTTAAGGAGCATAAGGTAAAAATGGAGTTTTTACTCTAATTTACGATAATGAACTGGTGTAGACGTAGTTTCCGAAAGCATTCGATAATGAGTCTTCCTTGCTACTGCGATCTCTGCAATGAGATTGTGACCTTTGTCTCGGTTAAAAGAAAAAAAGCAAATAGAAATTAAAAATTTCGAAATAAATATGAAATGTTGAAAATCAACTAAAGCTTTCAATTTAACATACAAATGTGCAGGTTGCAAGTTCCAGAGTAAACATACTTCAATTGATAGATCAACAGCTAGCGAAATATTTATTCATCCATAGCTCAATTTCATTCGTGCAAAGGCATTCAATGAAAGCAAATGAAAAATTCACTTTGTTTTTTATCGCAACGATTGTATCGGTTTCAAATGGTAGATGTGAGAAACAGGCCTCAGGGCGTATGAAAGTATATCTTAGTATATCTTACTTAAAACAATTAGTAACTCATTCGATTTCCTCGTCAGTTGAACAGTTAGTTAAAGCAATTCTCTCTTTATCTTATGCTATAAATCGAATAACTTTTCATTTCGTATTTATTTTAAATCTTAAATTTTTATTTCAAATCTTTAAAGTGAGTGCACATAGGAACTAGAATTTTATGCACTTGTCCTCTAAGACTAGCTGATATAAATGATGAAGTAATTATTCGAACCCATCTAATGAAAAGTGCCAACCGATTTATATTTGTACACCTAACTAATTCAATATATGTAGAAAAAGAAAAAGTTTTGTTAAACTTGAGGTATTGATAAAAACTATTAGTAATTTTTAAGATTTTTCTGTGCATATACAAAAAAAAAAAAAACCATTAATAAAAAAATATATTTTTATGTAAAATATTGCCAGCAAGCAACCAACTAAAAACATGATAGCATAACGTATGTAAAACAAAAAAAAAAAAAACCGTATATGTAACTATGGGAAAAATCAAACCCTCAAGAAACGTATTCAAAAAAACCAGAATTTTACCAAAAACACACACATACACACGTAATATTGTTGTTGTTCGTTTTGAGTATAATACTCGTCTGCTTTTTTGCATTTATGCATAAATTTCTTATTAAGTGTATGAATAAAATATATTTCTTTGTTTTTACTTTTTGTTCTCTTTTTATTTCATTCTCTTGTAATTATTATTATTAAATAAATGTGTATATTTTTATCCACCCACTTACGACTTTACGGGGTTTTATTTGCTTGCACCCATCAGAAATTGCATTTTATGTAATGAAAGTAGTGAAGACAGAGGTATAAAATTTTGAAAAGTTGTTAAGATTCTAGAGCATATGCGATTTATGGATTCGAAAGTGAATCAAATGCTTTTCGCAAATCTTTTCTGAATTGAACTGAGTATCAAAGCGGAGAGGCTAAAAACCCGGTCTACACATTGGTTGCATCAGCTTCTCCCAGTTTTTTGCATGGCATTCTAATAACGGAAGACGGCGGCTTTCTCTATTACCTTACCTGAATTGCATGAATGAAACGCACTAGTGGTTGATACCAAATAATGGAAGCTAATACTTGGCAAGCTGATGAGGCAGCTCGAAAGACATGTCTCGTTTCGCCAATTGTCCCCAACAAAACGCACCAGTTTACGTGGCATCAATCTGAGGTTTGTACAGCTTCATCCATCTTTGATCACGTCCTTTTTAGGACATTATTGCCTTATGTCTTATTATTACCTTAGACAAGTAAATGAGAATAGCGACTAGCAAGACAGTATGCGCAAGTTCAAAACTCAATTGCTTCAAAGTTTCCTTCGGTCGTAGCTATAGTGAGTGCTCAGCTGGTAAAAGCATAACATTTAGAGATTGGGCAAACACCAGCCAGACTGTAGTCACTATCTCCATAACACTTTCTCCTTCCCCAACTCTTTCTAATCATCGCCGTGTTATATTGAAATTTGAAAAAACAAATATTTCTTATGCGGCCCAACTCCTAACATTCATTACCAACCTCTTCGTAAATGCTTTGATTTTATTTCGTCACCTTTCACAGGCACCATAGTACGGCCTGATAGCCTAAGCATTAGTAACATTATGAACACATCACAAAGCACTTCGTTAAAAAGAATATGCTTTCTTGAGGCGTAGTCGTATAAGAAAAAAGTTCAACTATCTTTATAATATCTTAAGTCTCTATTTAAGGCAAGTTTTTTAAGTTGGACCACGAAAGATAGTATATATCAGTTGGCCGGCAAACTTTCCGTTCGTGCTACACCCTTGACCGAAAAGCGAAGAATGGACAGACAAATTATAATATAAATAAACAATAAGAGCACGCCTTGACATGAGACTTGGGAATCTAACTTTTATTTAAGGATACAATTCTCTTGTCAAACTTCATCTTTTAAGGTAAAGTGATGAATAGAGAAATCGTGACGAGGAATAAACAGTAATAGACACTTATGGCTGGATTCGAATTTACCATAAGAAGAAAATGCGTGATTGTGACCAGTTGTGTTGTGTTGTGACCCGTAGTTATGGTATGCAGCCTGAACATATCAAATTATTTATTATCAGCATATTTTAATTTTAGAGTACAATCTTTTACTCTTTCAAGATGTGCACTCACACCACATCTAGAAACAAGTTAATTTATGTATGCTTATCTCCATCAAGTTTACGTTTGTATAGCGTTGACTGTGGTGTGTAACTGCAATTCATTACATATTTAATTAATGATTTTATGCATAAGTTTAACTTGTAAACGTGTAACCTAAATATTTACTAACAGCCATGGACACGCAAATAGCGTGCACTTCATTACGACGACGAAGCAAAAATTAATTAATAAAAAATTTTTATAAAAATACGCAAGAAATATTTTTTTGTTTGAAGTTTGATTTAAGCAGAATGAAAAAAACTCTTAAATTTTTTGCTTCACTGAAGACAAGGGCTTTAAAAAAGATATTCCTCAACTTTGATTGCTTATGCCTTCACCAGGAAAAATTATCATTAATTTGCGTCAGGAAGAAAAAAAGCCGTCTTAAATGATGTATCCCAGAAAAATGGATTGTAAGACTCGGAAAATAATATGCAAGACTGTCTGTTGTGCACTTAAGTAAAAATAAAAAATGCAAGGAAAAAACCGACGTAAAAACGGACTAGAGAAATTGTGAAAAAATGTAAGGTGGAACCTTCGTCCTAACTGTAGTAAATAGAATAGTAAGAAGATTGGCTGTACAAGAGCAGCATGCACGATTTAAAAGAAAAACTTCTCTTGTGTACCTACAAAAGTTTGTCATTGGCCAAAAGCCATATTGCTGGCGATGTATGTTCCTTCTTTCATTATATTTAAGTGCGGCTTCTTCTCAACGTTTATGACATTATTCCAAGGCAGACGTTCTTCTGCTTCCGTAAGTCCGCCCACAATAACCATACGCTAGTTTATCGAGTTATCGTCCAGATCTTTGCAGAGAAGCGTTCTTAGAGCTTACAACTCCTTGCTGAGTGACTTACGACATTTCCTGCTTGTTCTTACTTTGAGGCCACTATTCCGTATTGGAACAAATATGCAATCGTTATCTCTATTCCTTTCCTCTTTTGTACACTCTTGAAAGTGTATTTTACTAATTCATTTGGGTTATTTTGTTTCCTTTTTGATCTATTATTAAATTGTTTTTTCCTATTATGCATCGTTTTCGTAACCTGCAGTGAGCAGTGAGTGATCATGATTATATGTATGCAATAAATGTATAAATAAAAAATTTTCATGACTGAAAATGTTTTTATATGAGTTGTTTAATATACATATATGACTTTCCATGCTTTAAGTATTAAAATATTTCAAGTTTCTTTGTCGCCTCACATCGATTACACTATTTCTTAAAATAAAGTGAATATTTTTTAGGTATTTCTGTAAATCTCTATATATATATATTTTTTTTTTCTCCCGTAATAAAGTATGGGTTATACATGCGTTTATGGCTGTATTGGAATATATGAATATCTGATATGTTTATATGTAATTTCTAATTAGAAATTGCCACGAAGTGTCTAATAACATATTGATAGTGCTTAAGAGAATTATATAAGCAAAATTATTGCAATTGCTATTGCAAAAGCAATACATAACGCAGTAACAGTATATAGACCAAATACCTAAACACATACATATATATATATATATAAATATATGCTTATGGCTATGCATGCATTACAGAGGTAAATTTGTAATGAAGCATTAAGCAATTTGTAATGATATAAATCTAATAAAACACAAATCCCATATCACCCACCCACACATTCAACCTCGCTGCACTCACATAGATACAAACATTGGTTAAAGTTAAGTAATTAATATAGAGAAAGAACAATTTCACCCAAGCATATGTACAAAGGAAATTCTCTCATATATGTTTGCGTATTTAATAGAAAATTAAGTATTGTAGGGCAATAGTTTAATGCAGTGTAGAGGGGAAGCCAACTTCTCTAGGGAGTGTGTCTCTATGAAGTATTTTACTGTAAAAAAGTAGTAAAAAGACAATGTTTGTTTGATTAAACTCACATGACATAGTTTGTATTAATTAAAAATATCATTTTCTTATGACTGAGTGAGCAGGAGAGTAAATAATATATCGACGGATGCTCACACACATATCAATATACTATACCGTAAACAGTGCAATTTCAATCAGTAAAGCTTTAGTCTTAGTATAAATGATAAACTCAGCGTAGCTCTTCTGCTATATAAATGACTGAAAGTGTGAAAGAGAAGAATAACTAATTTTAAAGAGGCGATAAAAGAGATGGCAAGTGTTTGCAATTGGTGCAGTTTGTCGGTTGTTGTTTCTTGACCGACATTCAATATAATCACTACAAGTCAATGGCATTGTTTACAGTAATCCCAGCTACGTAAAGTATGTTTACATACTTCCCGATGCCTCTACAAATGTGAGGCATGTGTCGTCTAGCTAGGTACTTGGTAAACAAATAAACAAACAAACAAACAAACGTACGAGTGGATTTGAGAATCGTCACATAACTATTAAGCACACTATGCACAATACTGATGATAATGTCGTTGTGGTTGTTGAAAGCTAATTACAAACGTATTCAAAACTTTTTGTATTACATTGCTCGGATGATGATGATGCTAGTAGTCATGATTATGACAATGATTAAGCTAATGCTAAGGCTACATACAACAAGTGGTAAAATTTCATATTTACTTAAACACAAAATGAAAGGATGCATAACTATAAACGCACTTATGCACACACCTTGATTATGATAGAATCGGTACATGGACATCCGTGTACTTAATCATTAACACGCACACACACAACAGCACACAAGTGCAATAGAAAGGATTCCAATAACCTTTGCTGCTCATGCAAATATAGCTTTTCCTTAAACACAAAACCTGCTAAAGTTGGCGGCAGTATAGCTAACCCTCAGCTGTGTGATTGCTTTAACGCATTAGCACAAATTTTCAGCATTTATAATATTATTGTCTCAAACTTTCAGCAATTTGGCTGCGCACACCCACAAATATATACATACAAATCTACATATATATATTTGTACGAACTCGCTTATGTCTGCAATTAAAGATATATTTAAGCATGCACGTTACACCGTCATTAAATATTCAAAATGCAATTAAATTTTGAAGAAAATTTTCGTTTCGAAAATTTCGTAGACAGCTATGCTCTTTCCACGTTTCTTGCGGATATCAAGAGAAATTTTATTTTCAAAATTATTCACCATTAATCACCTTTGCTACACTCTAAAGCCTCAAATGCTGGCTTTATTAGCTAATCTTCACATGAAAAAAGGTTTGTCTGTAGCACTGGCTATCGAAATGGGACAAATACCAAAAATGCAAAAATAGATAGGAAAATGCAATTAAATGAATTAACTGAAAATAAAATTATTTGTGAATGATGTTTGGAAAAGAACATACACACATACTTTCCACCTTTATTTTTATAATCTGCGAAGTAAATGAAACCCTTGTCT